GACAATGGTAATGTGGTTATCATCCTTTCTATTGATATACAGAAGGTCTTTGACAGAGGGCCGCACAACAGCCTTCTGGAAAAGTTAACGAATTTCGGAATCACACTGATCCCTTGCGCACATAGTACAAATCATACTTCTCAAATCGCACGTAACAAGTTCAAATAGGACTACACTACATCTTTCCTACTGAAGATCAACAGTGGGGTGATTCAAGGTAATGTGTTAGGTCCCTTGCTTTTCCTAATGTATATGAATGATTTAACTGAACATATGAAATCTGGGGCATGATATATCTTTGATGATCATATAAAAATACTGTACACCTTCGATATAGTCAAATCAAGTCAAAAAAGTGCTTTTATGCACTCCTGACAGATGAATTTTCAGCCTTGATGCACAGGCTACCGACATAAAAAAGTAGTTCAAAACAGACAGAACAAACAGCAAAAAAGGCTCGATAAAAAATAACCTCACTGGCAAAATTTACTGGACAGTTCCCGAATAACAGCATTTTGGTCAAAATGTAATCTGGCTAAGTAGGGAGTGACCGACAAACCATAAGCTTTCGTGCGGGCGTATATTGCTCTGTACTTCTGTCTGGTCGATTAGGTAGACATACAGTTGGAAAGTGCAGTGTGAAGAGGGTGGCTAATAGATCTGCGTGCGTCGGTACAATTGTTTTTGCCGAAGTTGGCTTTGAAATACCACTGCAGCGATATAAATAATTCATTGACCTGTCAGTTAGCTTGAATTGCTTACACAGTAGGCCTGGAAACAGCACAGGAGAGCAATACATCCTGAGTAGTGGTATGGAAACAGTTACGAACTTCAGAATCAAATTGTATGGTACTCAGGATGATCGCAATCGAGTGACGTAAAACGAAAGTCGCTTGACCTTGGTGAATCTTTGTTTGACGTGGAGTGACCCACGACAAAACGTGGTTCTCAGTGTAACCCCAAGATACTTCAGTGACGTAGAAAAGGTCAAGGTGTCACCTCCAATATGAAGTTTGGGACATTCTGTGACAAGTTCCTGGTAACGGGCTGCTTTGCGAAGTGAAAACAGAAAGTCATTACACTTGGACGCGTACAACGTCAAGCAGCGGGGGTTTGACCATTGCACTAATTCGTCTAAACTTTGCGGCTTGGCTGAGGAGGCCGAGGTTTGATGATTCACGCCAACGATGATGTCATACGCATGTTTTATCAGAATGGTTTATTCTGGGACAGGTATGGAGCTAACGTAAGTAGAAAACAAGGATGGTGATAAAAGAGCCTCTTGAAGGACACCGGATATCGTGGTAAGTGATGAGAGCTTTCGCCGGCAAACCTGGTGACCTGAGTACGTTTGGCGAAATAATCCTTTAGCAAGAATACGAGGGAAGGTTAATACCAGACATCTACAGATCTTGCAATAACAATTTACGGTTAACACAACCGAAACCGTTGCTTTACGTTTACTGTCTAGCGACGACAAGAGTGAATGCACTAAACAAGCCACTGCATCTCGTGTGGAGCTTGAACATCCACAGGCAAACTGAAATGGGTCATCTAAAGGGGACTTGGTCAGTATTTTTTCAAGAATGATTTACTCAAAAACCTTCAAATCCATCCAGGTGGATGCAGCAGGCCGATATTTACCCATGCATTTTTTCGGTAATGGCGTTATGCTGGCAATCCTCCAGCCATCCGCGATTTTCCTTTGCTTTAAGCACATTGTTATAGTTCGGCTAGAGGCCGGGCTAATGAATTGGCACACTGCGTCGCGACGATAGCAGGCAACCTGTCAGGTCCACATATCTTGCCTGAGTGCAGCTAGGTTAGTTTCTTGTGTATTGATGCGACGTCGACAGGAGGCAGAGTCCGTAGACCACTGAAACGGTGCAGCTGATGAATCAAAGAACGAATCACTGCTAGTGTAGCACATGTTACGAGTTAATTCTACGTGCACGTCAGAGCTTGTGCCCTGACGGGTGACTCTTCTGAGCTGTTTCATCATCGGCCAAACCTCACAACAACCATTGTTTCTCAGAAGTGTCTAGACATAGACATGATTGAGGGGGTGCACTCTTTCCTTCACACGAGCAGAAAGGGACTTCACTAACACACGATATTTGCTTTTGAAAGCTCTTTCCTTGAGCGTGCGAAGCTGCTTGAGGGGATGAAGAAAAGCGATCAGCACGGAGGAAGATGGTTCCTAATGAGCAACAAAGATCATAGCAAAAGTTCTGATACCCTATTATTTGGTCACAGTATGCTGATAAATCTCTGCCGAAAAACAAACTGAAGTCTACGGAAGTAACCATTTCTCTCAGCCACGCTGTAGCAGAAGGGAAGGATTTCTCCATTTCTATCTACGATCATCGCAGCAATTGAGATTCTTGTGGTTGGTCATCCTGTATATAACAAGGGTTAACTTGACCATAGAATGATCTGAGATGTCAAGTGATGCCCGATTGCAGACCGAAAATATCTTTAGATTATTAACAAACCAAAGCCTCTAACCTGCTGGGATATTTTACAATATACTGTAGCCCAAGAGTAGTAAGGAATGTGATGTGAAACCTGTTTAAATCACCAGTAAGTATGCACAGAGACTCGTCGATATTCCTAATAACAGTAGCCGTAAAATTATCATAAATTTGCTTGTTTCTAAGCTGGGATAACTGGGAGTACCAGTTCAGATATTTTGGCTTACAATGTAGGAACAAGGAGTCGATACGTAACGAAGAGTATTAAAAAAGACATTTCACTGACATCGTCGAAACCTAACCACTCCGAGCGCTGTAAGATGCTACAACTGGAGCCACTGTGGCTAAGACGCATGAAGCTAGGATTAACATTCCTATTTGACCTGGTCCAGAAGCGTAGGTTCACATCAAATATCACTAGTCTTTTCAAACAAGAAGGTAGATGCGTAAAAGAATATTAAGAACACTCCCGGTGTTCAAAACGAAAACTAATGTTCGAAGAAACTTCCGCCTAAACAGATACAATGGGGTCTGGAACAACCTCCGTACTGAAATAAGAGCATGCCAATCACAATCAGGATTTAAAAGAGCAGTTTCAAACTGCCTGACAGTGCAATATGTAAAAATAATGTTGCAACTAAATTGCAATGAAAAATTGCTATTTGAGGAAGAAGCCGAAACTGAGGAGTGCTGACTACAAATATGCATTAAATGTGCTGCGTATAGTGTAGTTACTTGACCAGATCCCCATGAGGAGGCAGATTGAAAAAAATATGAAAAGTCGACAGAATCCCCTTCATCCGACTAGCTTTCCTTCTTTGCTCGAGAAAGCATACCTCACAGATACGCCAATACGTTTGGATTGCAGAGGAATTGGAAACTGAGATCGAGATAAACATTTTTGCATACACTCCTCATATTCTACTTACTCAGCTAGGTTTACCTTGCAGCCAAACCACAAAGGGTGAGCTGAGAAGAAAACGTTGACTGAAGCTATCCATCTTCATCCACTGTTACCATTCGTACTTCTTTTACTCGTCTATACTTCTGCTGTTGCTCTCATGTAAACATATCGGGCAGCAAGGTGCACCTAACCGATTCTGCTTCCTACATCTTTATCCCCATTTCTAAATGTTCGCTTTCATTGTTCCGCTTACTCGCTTACATCTAGCGTACGGTCAAATCAAAACGTCTGAGTCAGTTGACCAAAGCCAACCAAGTCCGCCTCCCACACAACAAACAAGTCTCCCATTCTGTGCCTGCGCCTACAGATCTGAACTGAAATAAATAACTACGACCTTCACGACTACCTTTTGTTCTATGTTCAATAAGTATGATTTCCGCCTTAACATTTCTCTTATCACCACACAATTTCTCTTCATCTCTTACTCAATGAAAAGAACATTTGGTTCCGTCTGTACACGGAGCACTTGGTCAAAAAGTCATGAATTATTCTGTGCCCATGCAAGGCTTTCAAGCGGACAGCCATGGAAGTTTGTTTCAGCTAGACAGTTAGAATATGCTGTAAACATTGTACGAAACAACTGTAAAAATGTGATTCTGCCGAAAAGGAGATGCCTCCTGAAGTCGAAAAATTATCGGTTTTTGGAGCACCCACTGTGTGTCTTGGACTGTGTGGCACGTGAACTAGTCACATACGACTATACTGAGTGTTGTTGGTCAAGCTTGCTTCCACGGCACAGTTCACAAGAATAGCCATCTGCTTGATTCAAGACGCTAGAGTATCAATCAAGCAAATGGGTGTTTATGCTGATGAGGTCTCTGTCGAGTAAGAATGGGTATGAGGCTGCGTAACGAAAACCGCAAGGAATCCGTCCCGCCAACGCTGTGTTATCTTCAGGAAGTAGTCAATCGATTAAAACCGTGCTTCTTGCGTATAACTTTAAGTTTCAAAATCAGGCCTTCTTCATCACTTCTCGTCAATCCATACGACCAGTGGCAGGTGACCCCCCCGGAAGTGACAAGAAGCGTTCAAGAAACTGCTAGTTAAGAGTATAAAGTTCAATCGGTATTCCGTCGTCAGTGTTTTTCACTGGCCAGTTCCTCTAACCCGTTCTATGTCGTAGTACTACACACGGTTTGTCGTTCGTTCGCTGCGTGGGTCTAATCCCACGCTTGCTCTGCCTGGAACCACTTTGAGATTGTTCACAGGAGGCCGCACAAAATAAAAGTTGTCCATCCAACCCGCGTAGTTATGGTCAGCTTGAGTGAACGGCACTTGATGGGCCCTCAATCCAAAGACCATGCGACGAGTCACTTTGTCCAAAGGACTAGCTGCCTTCAGAGACCGTAGTCGCTAAACAAAGCTTAAATGACAGTAAATAACCAACGGTAAGCACTCGAGTAATGCTGTTGTTGATAATAGCGCTACTGAAAGAGCAGGAACAAGAAATTAACAGCGACCATTCAAAACGACCCAAAACGAAATGGATAAATCGGCAACAATACTAAAGAGAAAGTTATAAAGGGGCCAAAATCGCAAGATAGGGCGAGTATAGGGACACGTCACATGCAAACGGCGAAGGGTGGTAAAAACTCACTTTCAAGGTAATTCCCAGATAACCTGGCGTTGGTCATCCGTTCCTGCATAGTTGCAAGCTGGGGCATAGAGTCAGTGTAATTGGCTAAGTTTCGTTTTTGACTGATCAACAGTGGAAACAAGGACAGACGAATGACCAGGGTAGCTAACACAAGAAAGCAGAGGAGATAATTTTAAAAATATCACTGTAGAAACGGGAACAAGATAGGTTAGGAAGAGCTCGAAAACAATAAGGACTCCTATGAGACAGAGGGCAAGTGATAGAACCATTAATAGATAGCATTAAACTATGGCACTAGGTTATGGAGTTGCACTCGCTATTCTTTAGCGCTGCTACCTCTAATCGTGTGCATATATTCGGTTCACTTACGTTTCTACTTGCACGGAGCATTAGCGAGTAGGACATAGAGCATAGACCGGGCAGAAGCGAGATCTACCACATGTAAGCAATGAAATCTGAGTCAAACGAGAGTAAGAGAGGATTAGCCCAAGAGACAAAACACATACGCTAAGTTCAAGAACGGTGTACAAGTTGTTAGGCGAGCTCATCCATATAGCAGCTTTGGAGCCGATTCTTTCGCTAGCAGCTAGGAGGAGTTTGACCAGAAGCAGTTTGAAGCTAAGTGCCTATCTAATGAGAGCGAGTCAATAAGAGTAACTACCAATGTGAATGATCTACCTTGAACTCCGCCAGTGAGCACATTCTTTGGCAGCCAACAGGCGCATTTGAAGGCATATAGTAGTTTTTGTAATCCAGGGATTCTCAGCTAAGTCATTCTCTCATGAATCATTTATGCTGACCCGTGCTTGGACATACGCACTGCTTGTCGGGTACTCGATAGATTTGTCAAAGACCTTTGTCTTCTAATCTGATTACTGGTTGGAAGCAGCAAGTAGAGGTTTCTCTGTGTAGCTGCATCTATTGTCACTCGGGACAAAGACCCGTTAGGTTGTGGTGCGCTCGATATATTACATGTCGGCAAAGTGTTTGACCAAGAATTTCTGATAAGTCGGCCGGTCCAGATTGCGCAAATAGTAGATTATCCGTACGGTCAGCGGAAACCACAATAGATTTTAGAGAGAGGCAAGCTAAATCAAGATGTCGATCTTATCGGAAGACTTGAAAGCCATCTTGTCAAAACAGCAGCAGTAATCCGAAGCCCCATATCTGCGAATGATTGACTTACTTTACTTTACTGCGACTCGATTTTGCGACAGGATGAGCCGGCTTTATGAATATCGAGGATTGCAGCTGCCTAAGCGCGGCGATAAGCTCCACGCAGATACTGATCCAACGATTTTTCCAATGACGAGCACCTGCAGTCCCAGAAGATGGACATCCGGTCTCACTGCAGTGAGCCACGTTTCCAAGTGGCCACCACGGCGACGACACCAACCCCGGCAAGACGAAGGTGAAACCACGGCCATAGGGAAGTCAGTGTCTGGTGTGCAGAGAACGTGACCGAACCACTGAAGTCCGCGGGGTTGGATGGGCGCTGAGACCTTCGGAAAAGCGTAACAACGCTTACGGATTTCGTCATTGGTGATACGCTCATGCCTTGGACACCAATGGTCGAAGACTCTCAGCTTCCGGATGTCTTCGGATCGCAACGGACATATTTCGCAACCACAGAGTAAAATGGCACAAATCGTTGCTGAGAATGCTCGGATTTTCATACTCAGACTACTTTCCGTCGATCACCACAACGTGTTTCTTAGTTGTAAGAAGGCTGTTCTAGCGCTGTCAAATATGATTCCAGATTTCAGATGTAGCCTGACCATTGGGGAGAATAGTGCATGCAACGTACCTGAATTCAGGAACAGGCTCGATGAGTTGTCCATGTAAGGAGAGCGACGGGGCGGACTGGGTAGCTGACGATGAAAAGTACTTCGTCTCGCTGACGTTAATTTCGAGGCCGATCATAGAGGCGGTCCTCTGGTACGGCTGTGAGACATGGCTTATTCGATCTCGAGACTTGAAATGACTGTCCGTTTTTGACAATGTTGTCTGAGAAGCATTGCTCGAGTGTGGTGACAAACACGTAAGCAACATAGAAGTTCGGGACTGAGTAGTAAGAGCGAACAGCCCCTGTCTCTATTCTCTGACAACGCATGCATGTATTTCCTTTATGTATTGCGGTACAATAGCGGAGGTGTTTTACCATCTCTAGCTGACATGTATAATGATGATGATGATGATGACAACGCATGCGTTAGCTAGGCTAAGCGTTGCGGATGCCAGCCTACCGCCATCTTTGTCGAGAGTTACTAGTTTCCCCAATGCGATAGGAAAAAGTGCCGCGGCGGAAAACCAATAACAAGGAGGAGAATGAGGAAGACAACATCAAGCTCAGTATCAGTCGGACTGGTCCGCCTTCCAGGATGAGGGCCAGGGGGCACTGACTTCCAGTAGTTGGAAATGTTGGATGTTAAGGGACGCAACTGACATAAGTGGCGCCAGATTAGTTCTGAAGCATCAGTTATTAAACAATGTCCAATGGAACTTACAAAACAAAAAGCTTAAAATGGCGCGTATCAGACACCAAAAATTTTGTATTGTGCAATTTTATTTCAGTTGTCCTTTTTTGTCTTGGTTCTGTTGGCACACTATATATATATATATATATATATATATATATATATATATATATATAATATATATATAATGTTTTTCACCATATTTCGAAAGAGTTGTACAGAACTCATTTCTATTTGCTGTATAATACAGTATATATATATATATATATATATATATATATATATACATATATATATATATATATACTGTATTATACAGCAAATAGAAATGAGTTCTGTACAACTCTTTCGAAATATGGTGAAAAACATTATAAAAGCTGTCAGCCGTGAATATCATTGTCGTTCTAATGTAACATTTAAAATATCTGACTTACGATATTTCAGGATTCACAAATGTGAGATATCATCGTAAGTGTGCAATCGTTCTCTGAATCGAATAGTGATAAAATATAAATCTAACAACGTTTTGGTCTGTTGCACAGATGTTGCCTCAATCACCTGTTCAGGTAAACTGTTCCAAATGTTTACCACTCTCCGTTCGAAGCACAGTAGGTGGGGAACACATTTCACATCCGGCACGACAAGTTTAAATCTGTGTCCGAGTGTGCTGCATGGCCCTCGTAAGTGCAGCATTGGCCTTAGCATTAGGAAGTCACCGAGATGTAGAATACGGTAGGTCATAATGAGGTCGACTCGCACCCGACGGTACGACTAGGTGTAGAGTCCTAGTTTCTCGCACCGGTCTCCATACCCAAAGCCACGTAAACTCGGGATCAGCCTGGTAGCAACGTGTTGGACCCGTTCGATCTTTTGTGCTTCGCCTCGGGTAATCAGAAAGTAGGCGGGCGAACCGTACTCTAGCATTGGTCAAATGATGGAAGAGGCGAGTGGCAACCTCTTCAGACCATGTGCCGAAGCTACGTTTGAGCGCCCAAAGCACGAGCAGTCCGTTACGATATAGCCTGTTCGTGTTGTCCACGGACTTCAAATCGTAGCGTGAGAGTACACCTAGGTCTTTCACGGAGGGTGTGGGATATAGCGGTTAGCCGTCAAGGGTGTAGGTTCGGCCGTCAGCACCCTTCCCCAGCCACATAAATACAGACTTGGCTGGGTTGACCGGGAGAAGAACTTCTGCAGATCATGTGGACAGGCGGTTCAGGTCTTGCTGAAGTAGGCCACAGTCATCGGGAGCGTCGATTTCTCTCCAAATGTTCATGTCGTCCGCAAACGAGGCACACGGCGACCGGAGAAGCTGAGAAGCCGCGTACTGCAGAGAACGTAGGCAGAACCAGCGCAGCATTTGTAGGTACGCTGCATTCGATTTACTAACCGCGTGCTTACATGTTAAGTCTCTTTGTTTCAGGTGGTGGGTTTTCAATTTTGTCCTAATGCTTTTCTTTCTCAAATAAATGTCCACCTGTACGCTCCTCTATAAACCTGCACAGGTCGCTTAAGCCAATTGTAGTTAATTTCGATAAAATTTTCGTTTCTGTGTCATTTCCGAACAATATACTTCCGACCCCCTGAACTTATCTCGGATCCTTTGTTAACAACTTATTTCATATGCTCATTAACTTAAGATTTTTGTCACGTTTCCTTATGCATTACTCGATTTCCTTTCTTTGTTAGCTTTCTCTCAAGTGATTGGCTGTTGCTTGATATCCCCGGTGTGGCTGCGCTTGATGTGCATGTTGACAAGGTGCCTACCTTTCTATTATCCACTACCTCGTCCATACTGGCTCCAGGAGACAGTTGGTCGTTGCTGGAAGGGACGGGGTGCACGGTCCTTGTGGTCGTGCTAGGCTCGAAGAGTGGTTCCATGCACTCATTGTGGAGCGGGCTACGGTCCAGCCACCGCCTTGTGTGCGCTTGATTCCCAACGACAGCGTGCTTGTGTTTGCCTGTGAAGGAGTGTGGGCCGGCTCCGTTGATGAAACGTGGCTCCCATCCACATGCCTCCCGGTCTTATTCCTTCGGGTTTACACTGGATATGGGATGTGTGGTTGGAGCTGTGGGTGGTGCAGCGCAAGCCACCCATGGTCCCTCTGTAGGCGCAGACGTCCTGTGGCTGACCACAGTGACAGGCAAATCCGAAACCGGATGCCGTCAACCATATATACGCACCCGAGGTAACATCGGTATCATCGAATTTCATCCAGTGTCAAGTCTGCGCTAGCGATACTTCAGCAAACCATGATTACAATGTTTGCAGACACAGACGGCGCTACCGCATATTTGCATGATATTACTGTCATCGGAACAAGCGCACATGACCTCATTAAAAATTTGCATCGGGTACTTGAAAACAAGGAAGAGTATGGATTCAGTCTCCAGGCCGAGAAACGCAGTTATTTTGGATTCGATTATTTTTCGTGGCTTCACAATTGACAGAGACCAGAGGCGTAAACATTTAGAGAACATTGTGGCTATCAAGATATCCACACGATGAGGACCTTCGTAGGACTCTGCAGTCACTAGAACCGATTTCGACCGCACACGCACAGCGTGCATGGACCACTAAATGAGTTACTGACCAAGAACAAACTCCAGCAATTGTCCGAAAATTGCCAGAAATCATTCGAAGATGTGAAGGGGATGGTGAGTTCTGATCTCTTGTTGACTCATTATGACACTATAATTGAGTTCGTGGTAGCGACAGACGCTTCGAATTATGGTGGCTTAGAAAAAGCGATTGCACATGCAGCCCGGTCATCGTCACCAGCCGAAAGGAATTACGGCCACATAGAAAATGAAGCTTTGGCGATAGTCCACGCAGTAAATTTCCCAAAATGCTGTAGGGAAGAAAGTTCACTTTGCCAATCGAGCAAAAGCGTCTCTAGGCAACATTCGGATCGAATCCTGGCATATAAGTCTATACCGCGAACTGATGCAGCGTTAGGCCGCGTCCTTGATCGGTTATGATTTCATAGTGAAGTACACGGCTATACAGGATAACGGCCAAGCAGACGTGCATTTCCAGACTACTGGATAACCGGCAGCACCAGCAAGAAATCTGCTATTGCAGCGATCCTCCTCTAAGCGTAAATCGAGTGACGTTCAAATTGGTTCGTGACACCTGTTCGAGATCTCATGTTGCGTTAAGCGACCAAATTTCACATTAGTCTATGGCCGAGGGACAATTTAGCAGGGAAGTTACAAATTTTGTCCCGGAAGAAAGACGAGCCATCAATCGTGAAAAGGTGTTTACTTCCAGCCGAAAGTAATGTCATTCTTACGTGGCTTTGTCAGAGTCCACCAGCAGATTTATCGAGGTTATCCTGGAAGTAACCGAATGAGGATTATTGTTCTAAGTTTCGTCTACCCGCCAAACAATGATTCGAAACTCGAGCAACTGGAAAAGTCGTGTCCGAGATGCGCGCTTGTTATCGAGGCACTAAGAAAGGCCAAACTAGCTTATTAGCCGCTGGCGATGAAGCCGTGGCAACATAGGCACGCTGACTTTGTTGGCCCAGTGAATGGTTCACAGTAGTAAATCATTGTTGACTAATTCAGCAGGTGACCCAAGGTGCTTTGCAAGGAGCATACGACAAGTGGTGCAACAACTGCCATTCTGAGAAAACTTTTCAGCTGGTACGGAATGCCGGAAACTCTAGCCACCGACGATGACCCTCAGTTCACCTTTTCTCAGTTTACCGAGTACTGTGTATAGGACGGCAACACACTAGTTGCCGTTTCACCACCAGTCAGCCACATTAGTAAACATAAATTCGTCCGTACAGTGCTACGTCGTACACAGTCGCTATGCGGAAAGTCGTAGCTCTGGGGCCAACCACTGTCCTTTGCAAAGTGCATAACTGGCATGACAGTGGAGGGGGAGCCGCATTATATCGTATTTAGCGGTCAGTTATGCACGTCCGCCGCCGTCAGCCATGGCTTAGTGGTACAAGCTGCTGGCATCCGGAGATCATGGGGTAGGAGCCCGGCATGACTCCGGAAAACGCGTACCAATGACGAGACCCAAAAAGTCGAAACGGCCGTCTGGTGCTTTTCCAGGTGTGTGAAAATCTGCGTAACTGTGATGGAGAGGGATTTCGTCTAAACAATAATAAAACTTTAGCCATCCATATGACTTGCGTAGTCGACGTGAGCACGACATTATGATTCCCTAGGTTTTAACTAAGGATGCAGCTCCGCTTTTTGTGGTGCCTTTATAACGCAAGCATATTTTTGACAGCGTTTAAATAAATAAAATAAATAAATAAATTTGTATATTTACCGACGGACGGTACACGGCCCCATAAGTGGGAGCGATCATTTGTATAGTGAACACGTTTCATAACATTAAATAAAAGTTTACTGAGAGCATTTCGGATCATGATTACTTTTCCTTGAGTCCTAGACCGGCGCAACTCATATGTAAAATTTACGGATGTTTGTATCGTCAGGAGTAGATAATAAACGAAGGGACTATTAGGCTGCAAAGACACAGGATTTGGTATGGTATGTAATGACATGTAGTGGGTAAGCTAGCTGTAAGCTATTATCAAATGTTTTTTATACCAACTTCTGTCAATGTTTCTAGTGTTTGTTGTGTGTCAAAATATCTTTGAAAAGTTCTTCCAACTGTTTGTCTATGAAGAGCCAGTACACATAAATACGAGCAAGTGCCTTCATCCGCTGGATCCCAGGATGTCCGGGATGGAAGAGCCAAAGTATGCGCACTTGTAGGATCTCCGGGACGACAACCCTTTCAGATTAATCAGATTCTCAGGAAGTTCTGCAGTCAGGTGCAGCCTTGGAACATACCAGAATGATCGAGACCCATGCGATACGCGGTGCTAATCGATTATTCGTTGAAATGATGGTATCCCGGGAAATTCCTAATTGCTCCCGGACACTCACTGTGACGAAACTATTTGCAACTGAGATTGTTAGAGTTGCCTGGAAGACTATGTGAGCTCTGGTGACAATTGAGTGACCTCGAAGTTGATCGCCTTGCTGTGTTCGAGAAGTGAGTGTTGTGAAGACGCACAACAAATTGTGAATGGAGTAGAGACAGTAGTCTTAAGCCGATAGCGTTGTGCAGTAACTTGCGTCATGTGTTGCTGATGGTGATGTCGTCAAGAGTAGTTCCGGACGTCGTTTCGTCTAACAATGTGAGATAAAGGTGAGAAAGGCATAAAGAACACTGTAGCACGTCGTACCGACGCTTCGCTGCCACGCGATCACCATTAGTCGCGCGTGGCCTGGGGATATTACAAAGCCGCTAGCGCTTATGACAATTCGAAACGATGGGGGTATCGGATTACAGTGGACGTCGTATCCTTTCGGCCACCGACCGACTCTAAAGATTGTGATCATCAATGGAATGAAAAAAACTAGTCTTAATCAGTTCGGTAGACATTGACTCCAAGCAGCCACAAGATGTCATCGGGTAGGTGATAAGCATCTCTCCATGTCACTTCGTCCAATCAGTGTAGTTACATGCTTGGTCACACGAGTAAGGGACGAAAGTTGTCCATGGAAGTCTTCCTTCTAGGGCTTTTGAGCTACAGTTCGTGGAAGCGTACACACAAATCACCATTTCTTTGAATAATGTCTATTATCTTCAACAAAAACGCCACAAACACGCGAAAGTAGTATTTCTACCGTATGCACAACTAATTCCCTGAAGTCAGTGACTTTGTATCAAACAAACATTAAAACCGCCAATGGATTCTGAAGTCAGGTTAGGTAGTGGGAATGAAAAGTTCTATGGGGCTCTACTTGAGGCGGACTCCAGGAAGTATTTGACAAGTCAGTATTTCATTCAGTTGCATTATGCAAGATACCTATGAACATAGTCCATTGCACTTGAGCTCTGACAACTTTGCAACCTACTTATCGACGACAATCCAACTTGAAGCGGGTCATTACGGTTTGCAAGCACCAAAGACAGTCCATCACCAAACAGATAAGCCTACAATCTATAAGCTCTCGTCTGGTATTGTTGTAGCTCCGGTGAGAGGCAACATCTTCACAGAAAACTGTCAGGAGGAGGTTGAGATAGTTTGTCCGACCGCTGATTGTTGATCCACCTATGAGAGGCTCCCACCTGAATTGTCTAGATGAAGCATGGAGCTACAGAGACAGTACATTATAGTGGGACTTACTTTCAGCACAAGAAGCTACTGTCAACTTATCCTGCGTTGCATAAAGGGCTAAAGAAGCTGGGGATAAGTGCGGAGTAGGATAGCAGTTGGACCGACCGTAGACTTAGTGCAGAGCCAAGAATGTAATTGCTGCGTCATACTCAACGAATTAATATAGTGGCAACGTCTCATTAAAATGCAAGTAGAAAACTAGATACTTCAGCCAAACAGCTCAGTTAGAGTAATGGAAATGTTAAGGGGAAAACATACTGGCAGCGATTGCGGCCCACCAAGGTAATTCAAGAGAAACATGCAGGACTTCTAGAGCAGCCTGGTACCAACCGGAAGGCCAATAACTGCACAATCCCAGTGAAGACAACGTCGGTTCTCCCAACGCAGTCAATATCTGCTCCTGAACAGGTGCCAATGGAGGACTTGGTATCGAACTCAAGGAACTCAAGGCCGATGAGTCAGAGAGCCGTCTCACAGATGATGATAGCGTTCGAGTGGAATCATGGAGAATGTATGGCTTAGCGAAAGGCGTAGATGATCCGTAAACTAAAGAAAGACGCGGAATCACTAGTGATTGTCTCCAAAACGACTGAGCACGATAAGTAAACATTCTGGCAGCTTGGTGCTGTAAAAACGCAGGAAATAGCAGTGGTCTATCTGAAATTGAAGAAAAATATGGTATGTAAAGGTATATGATTTATCCAGAATTCAAATGGAAAAATGGTGAGATACAGGTGAAATCAAACTTTCGGTTGTCATACGGTGACACAACGCAATGGTCGGGTTATTTACTGTAGACAACAGAAGTATTCTCTCAACCAGTGTACCGTTTGTGTCAATGAGCAAGCCAAAACCATCAGAACATCGATTATTTTTGATCAGCTTCAATGTTGTAAACAGGGAGGTGAGAGCAATCAATAAGAATTTCATAGCAATCCCTTGAAGAAAAACTGTTGACGGAGCACGATTTCCATTACTCTAAATCAGACTCTGAGAACAGATCCCGATGAGCTCTACCTAAATCATGTTTGAAAATCTATATCGTATCGCATGAGAACTATGCACTACAAGATTCGTAGAAACTGTGACCCCGAGAACCAATACGTAGCTTTGTGACTTGACCTCGGACGCGGTCCTAAGCGTCATAGATTGCAGAAGCCAGAAGGTTTAAAGTCAAAAACAACTTCACAAGACTGAATCCGTTTATTAGGTGTCTCAATTTGCATTTTAATTCTAGAATAATTAGTCAATCTTCGCATGCCTTGCCGCAGCGGCAATGAATCATTCTGCGGACCAAACTTGGTAACTTTTCAATGCCAGTGAGATATGATAACCAAGCCCGGACACCGTGAATAAATTGTAGCTTAACCATTGCGTTGCGAGTAAAAGGATCGAAAAAAATAGAGAGCAAACACAACACAGTGCCAATAATTCGCTGGCATGCAACACTTGGAGTCCTGTTACTGTGGACGAAGAGTAAGAAAATGAGAGAAGAGGGGATGGACTTAAAAAAATAAATATCCTGAGCAAAAATTCGGGATCATGGTGCGCATACCAAGCGGTCAGGAAAAGCCGCTCGTTGTGTGAGAATAAGGATATATTGGAAAGACCGCTGCATTGTAGCTTGCAATACTCCGCAACTAGCTTGGCCCACAGATAACTCAGCTTCAGACGTGCTTCAATTGGCGAATCGACGAGGTGAGAGCAAGCATGCCACTGTTTGTAAAGGTTATGCGTGTCCAAGTACAGGGGGGAACACTGGTGTAAGGGTAAAAGACGAAATGGATCAAAAGCACCTAATCTATTTATCAGTAACATCGGTGCACTCCACCAAGTTCATAACTGCCTCATCGAACATTACACCATTCTATAAAAAGCAAACAAAACAAAGTCATCTACGCAGCGTGTACTCATGCCAACACATTTAAATTTGTGGACCAACAGCCTAGTAGTTAACTATGAATTGCACTGTTGGAAAATTGATGAGGCAAATGAAACCAGTAATCGACAACAGACAACGAGGACCAGAGAAGTGAATGCGCCTTGGACCATCGGACCGAAGGATCTATGTCTCAGTCCAACTGAGAACGGCAAATGCAAGCAGTGACAAATAATTGAGCTTGCTGCCTCAGTTTGCCTCCAGAGTGTATACAAGAACAGCGTGCTGAAAATACGGCTTTTGTTATGTGTTCATCGATCCATTAATTATTGGATCGCCGTTATTATAGGTGCAGTTGCGACCGGTATTATATGTTCATCAAATGCTTCCGCATCGTCTTTGCGGTCAACTTCTGGTAATGGTTATCGATAGTTTTTGCCTTTTGTGATCAACCGTTTACATGTTTTGACCTACAACTATTCACTCTGAAGGCACTACAGGTAAAAGTATATTGATTAAACGTTTTTAATTCATGTCCAGTGTTTTTAATGTCATACTGTATTGCAAACTATTGACAAACTTATGTCTGGACCCATTGTACAATGAATCTGTGGCAACTAAGGGCGTTTACGGCCGGCAACAGACGACTCAGGAGGCATGCAACGCAACGTTTGAAACGGATGTAACACGGCCCTGCAACCAAACTCTTAGTATAACAACATGCCGTCGAACAGTGATGGTTTACTCTTTAAGTATGTTGGCTAGTGCATGCATCAGCTGAAGTGTTCGGCTTTCACAGGTGGAGAAGCATCACCTGTCAAAATGCTAGATAACGAGCAGCAGGTGATCTCCTTGCTGGCCACCATTGACAGCAAATTGGACTCGTTTATGAAGACATATAGGGTTAGAAACATCCGACTCCGGATTTCCCTGACACGGCAGCCTCCATTAGGAACGCCATAAGATGCCTGTGCCTACAGAGGG